GGGGGAGGATTTGGACTTTAAAATGCATGGTTCAAGAGAGAGTTAGATATCATTGTGCAGAAACAAGTTGCAATTACCTCCTCACGGGGGGTAAAAGGTATAGAATCATCACAATCGTGCTCAACTTTTTTCTTGACAAGTTTCATTGCTGCCATTGCATCGTCCAAGCAATTATGGGGAGATCCATTCTCTCGGAGTTCATAGCCTAGCACAAACTGTTGAAAATCATGAGTTGGAGGTGATCAATTGCAGATTTTATCTCACCTTATTTATGCATTTGGCATTCTCTTATTAGTGTTTAGCAGAGTGGAGGGAGGAAAGAAATAAATACCAAAGAAAGGTACAATACAAAAGAAAAAGTGATACCCAGACTTTTATTCTTTTATTCTTCCCTCAGATGACAATAAATGGAACATATAAAAAACTTCTTTTTTCCTTTTTCCTTTACAACACTTTTCCAAACATGACATGCAATATCAAGAATGAATTTTTAACCCTTTTGCAGATTCCATTCTCTTTTCTTTCTATTGTATTTCTCTCATACCAAACAACACAAAATCTACTCATCTTCGCACATTTTTTTCCCTAAAATTCTTTATCAGCTATATTTGTATCTCGACCAAACATTTTGGCAACAGAAAAGGGAACTGCAGACAGTGAAATTAAAATTACAATTAATTTAAAAGTTTTGCATTAAGAAGTATCCCATAAAATAAATACACGGTGACCACAGATTCATTGCACCAGAAAACTTACTTTACACAAGTTACTTAAAGAAGGTCTTCTGTTAGGAGCATCCCGGTATTTGAAGACATAAGCTGTGTCAATAACTTTTGCATGATCTATCTGTAAAGCTGTAAAATGAAATCCTTGTTTAGAAGCTGAAATGGAGGTGTGATGAGAGCAAAACATTATTTAAGAAACCAAGTACTACGTATTATATGGAGAGCTAACAAAAATATTACCCCCTTGAATGGAGTAAAATAATAGTTTGAATACTATAATCTCCAAGGCAAAATTTAGACCATGAATATCTATAATTATAAATAAAGAATAGATAAATATTATAAATATAATATGTTTAAACTTCATTTCAAAATAAATATAATGATATTCAGATCATATCATAATGTAGTGTATATTTAATATAATTATGGTCAAAGTTTACGAAGTTCGACAAAAATATACAAAGAATGCAAAGTTACCACTCCCTCAACCCCCCCCCCCACGCACAGACACACACCAAAAAAGGTTCATGTATTCGGTTTTTTAATTGTCTGAAAACAAGGTTCAGGTTTCCTAATATGAAAATAATTGTGGTAGAATGGTTTATATTATTTCTCCCTCTATATAAATCTCAACCACACAATTTCATTTTTTAATAAATCTCCCTCTATGAACATTAGGATCATGGAAAAACTTCTATTTAAAAATATTGGAGTAATATTTTTGAACATTTTAGAGAGTTCAATACTACAGTGACATTATTGAAATAAAAAAAAACTAGCGACATTCTTTAAAAAAAATAATACTCGAGTGACACTTTTAAACATTTTAGAGAGTTCAGTGACATTATTGAAAGCAAAAAGATAGTGACATTTTTGAGAAAAACGAATAGTTGAGTGTCATTCTTGTCGTTGCGCTCTTCTTTTAGAACCAATTATACTTTGTACTTTTTTAGCACTAGTTACTATTTTATAATTGTAGTATCTGTTCATCTACTCTATTTTCTCAACCTACAAAAATATCTATAGTTCTCGTCTCACTTTAAACCTTTGGCCTCTCATTTGAAAAGATCACCTTAGTGCAATCACTTCATCAAACTACACAATCTATGGATGTACTTTGTTTATGACACTAAACTAATCTTTGTAAAGCTAAACTAAAAAAAAGTTGAATAGAAGTATAGAACATATTACTTTAAATAAAACTATTCCCTCTGTCTTAGACAGATTGTATGGAAGTCAAAACGAGACAAACTCTCAAATTTTCAAAATTCATTTTAATATAAAAATGTCTACAAAACAACAATAATTAATTTATTAAATAATTAAAGGAGAAATACCAAAATAAAGGTGAAGTATAGAAAAAGAATCAAAATAAGTTCTACATGTTTATATCATAAAATAAGACATAATACCAAAAATTATCGTCGAATGCCAACACATAGTGTCACATTATTGCAATTCAATAGTTATATTTTAGGATAAAAATATGTTATTCATATTAGGGAATAAACATTATATTTTGCTTCTATTTTGAGTAATTTTTAAATAATTATAAAGTAATAAAAAAATATACAAATAAATAAAAGTTACCATAATTAATGGTGCAATGTGGAATTTACTCAAAAAACAGAGGAAGTACACCATTACCAATTTAAAAAATTTTATAATGATTTGATTTCCAAAATTATTTTTATCAAGTTTTCTTTAATAAGAAGAATAAAAGGGACCAACTGCCTTCTTCTTTGGGAGTGCAGGCTCCTTACCCTAAAACATAAATTGTTCACTTCCCTTACATTGAAACAGACTCGAGCCACACCTCTCTTTATATCGCTTCCCTTTCTCTTCTTCCATTGGAGCAGATTCATACAAACATCGGAGTGTGTTCATATCTCTTCCGTTTCTCTTCTTCCATTGAAGAGAGGTGGGGCTCGAGTCTGTTCCAACGAAAGAAGAGAAACGGAAGAGATATGAACAGACTCTAATGTTTGTATGGGTCTGCTCCAATGGAAGAAGAGAAACGGAAGAGATATGAATAGAGGTGGGGCTCGAGTCTGTTTCAATGTAAGGGAAGTGAACAATTTATGTTTTAGGGTAAGGAGCCTGCACTCCCGAGGAAGAAGGCAGTTGGTCGCTTTTATTCTTCTTATTAAAGAAAACTTGATAAAAATAATTTTGGAAATCAAATCATTATAAATTTTTTTAAATTGGTAATGGTGTACTTCCTCTGTTTTTTTGAATAAATTCCACATTCTATATTGCACCATTAATTATGGTAACTTTTATTTATTTGTATATTTTTTTATTACTTTATAATTATTAAAAAATTACTCAAAATAGGAGCAAAATATAATGTTTGTTCCCTAATATGAATAACATATTTTTATCCTAAAATAGAACTATTCCATTGCAATAATGTGACACTATGTGTTGGCATTCGACGATAATTTTTGGCATTATATGTTGGTATTATTCGTATTATATGTCTTACTTTATGATATAAACATATAGAACATATTTTGATTCTTTTTCTATATTTTATCTCTATTTTGGTATTTCTCCTTTAATTATTTAATAAATTAATTATTGTTGTTTTGTAGACATTTTGATATACTTTTTAAATATGTTATTTTTTATTTTCATACTAATTTCCAAAAATAAGGTTCAGGTTTCCTAATATGAAAATATTGTGGTAGAATGGTTTATATTAATTCTCCCTCTATATAAATCTCAACCACACAATTTCACTTTTTTTTAATAATCCTGCTGCATCAAATGTAAGACCTTTTTTATGGGCAAGATGGAGTACTTAGCTAGTAGGCTTACCTCGAAGATCATTGCATAAACCGTGGCCTACTAATATCTTCCCATGAGCCAACAGTTTCTTCATAGATTCCTATAAGAGGCCCACAACTTTTGATGGTGATTTTTTGTCATAAACATCAGGCAGGTTACATAAACTTAAAATTACCTGTACATCATTCAAGGAACATGTAACTCCATCTAAGTCAGAAGCATTAATTCCAGTAATATCTGTTCGGTAATCTGTGATTGTTTTACTTGGCTTTACAAATTTATCAAGTTTAACCTGCATTATACAAAAGCCTGGTGGTTTGAAGTCACCCATAAAAGAAGAAAATGGTATGAATGCAACAGAAAAATCTGTAGATCATCAAAAATGTTCATCCTCAACTGGTTTAAAAAATAAATGCACGAAAGACCTTGTTACTTGTAAGAACAACAACAGCCCAGTATAATTCCAACTTCGTTGGGGTCTGTGGGGTCGAGATGTAAACAGCCTTACCTGACTGTATCCATTAGATTATTGATGCATTCATTGATGCATTGACACATTTACTACCCAAAACTTCATTGAAAGTAAGAAGCAAATGAAGTTTAATGTGTCATTTTGATTTAGTCCATTAATGAAGTTTAATGTGTCATTTTGATTTAGTCCATTCATTTATCGGAAGCTAAAATATTGTCAATTACGACTACTTTAGCTCCACTGGCTATGAAAATGATACTTGTTAGAACTAAGCTGTGAAAAAATACCTTAAAATTTTGATCGACAACACAGACACGGATTAAAGCTTCTGTTCCATCATTACAAAGGGCCATCTCGCAATCAATTGCAAGCATTTTAGTCGATTTCATTTCCTTGGACTTTTTACTGCATTTGGTAACTAACCAGCCCTGCATGATAGCTCGATTAGTATAATGAAGGTAAGAGGCGGAAATTATATAGGATGAATAGCAATCTAGAGAGACAACATAGTATCTGTTGAATAACAAAGACTTCCTTGTACATTCTGATTTCTCACTCCACATTAATTCAAATAGAAATGTGAATAAAAATGCAAATAAGAATGCAAAGAAAGAAATAATATGAACCAGAATTCCAAGTGTTTTACTTGCGTTTACATCAGACCACATACAAACAACTTAACATTTTTTTTCTGTTTGGGGCACAAGAAAAAAGATAAGGAAAGAGAGGAAAAGACTATGACCTGCAAGCTATTCCATTAATATCCTCTTCATTTCATTTTAAAAGTATGATTATTGTTCTCACATTGTGTTTTCTTCTCTTATAATACGTAATCCCTAATTCGTTCAACACTCCCTTTCAAGTTGGAGCATCTCTGTGTGCGTCAAGCTTGCAACATGCAAGCACATGGAAATCATACTTGACCACACAGCCATCACCTTTATGACATTGACCATACAACACAGAGTGAACATCATTGACTGCACAAGACATAACTTGGAAGGACAGTAAAGCATTTGATCTACTGAACAAGAGTGACATAAAGTGTAATCATTAACCAGAGGAAGAATGTTTACCTCTTCGTACGATGGTAGGGAATAATCAACTGCATACTGAGGGTGGTTAAGAGTTAAGCAAACTAGCCTCTGCACGACCAGAACAGTAATTTAGTATTCAAACTGTTCAAATAGTAATAAACTGTGTTCAAATAGTATGCAAAAGTTCATTATCAGTAAATATCAGTTATTCTACATGCGGATGTAAGGTAATTGACTGTGTTTTAGCTTCAGGTAATAATGGGCTTAATCCAACTGGCACATTAAGTTTCCTTTGCTTCTTACTTTCCATGGAGTTGTGCAGTAAATGGGGGTAAGGTTGTGTTAGTTGAATAGATCTGGGTTTATTGTTGTATCACACAACAGGCATAAGGAATGAATCAAACAACGATAAAATTGCTGAAATACTGAAAGAGGTTAAATAACCCAAGAAAAACTGATATATCTATATCATCATCAGCACCATAATTTTAACTAGTTTGGGTCGCGGTAGTATTAACATTTATAGTACCCTACCACTTAAATTAATAAAGTTGATTAATACTACATACTAAAAAAGAATGATGAGAAAGTAAAGATGTTCTACAGCAGGTGCCCTTCCTTTTGCAGTCGTCTTTAGAAGGAATAACAAGAAAAATATCTTCTAAGGTTAAAATCTTTGCTACTATAATGACGCGGGTGCCCAATTTTCTAATCATTCCTTCTAAAGAAGGATACTAATCATACTATGATAGGTTCCAATATTCTCACATATTTCCACATCATCATTTGCAAGGGAAATATCATGAGGCGGCTATATGTTAAAAACTTAAAATATTTGCTTTTATCATCTCCATTACATGATTCATCCTTCAAGACCAACATGCAAATCATGGAAACTGACCAAACTTAGAAAAATATTTGGCTTCAATTAATAATCATAGAAAAAGTACTATTCACTCTGTCCTACTAAAATACGGTTCCTCTCTATTATTCACAAGGTCAAACTATATCTTCTTTTTTACACATTTTTGCTTGTATTTGACAAAATAAATTATTCAATGTCACCATTTGTCTTGTAGAACTTTTGATGTAGTTTTTAAATATATACTCCCTCCGTCCCAAAAAAATTCCCTTTAGAAAAAGGTGGAAATTAAAGAATGTGTAATTTTGAAGTAACTTTTCAATTTTGCCCTTAATTTATTGTAGGGTAGGATAGGATGTGATTGGTAGATTAATAGTGAATAGATATGATGTGATAGAAAGGTTAATAATTAGTAGGGTTAAAAGAGAGATATTAATTGAAAGTGGAAGCATTTTTTGGAATGGATGAAAAGTGAAAGTGGACATGTTTTTTGGGACGGATTCTTATTTGTAAATTCTATACCAATTTTTAAATATATTGATTTGAAAATATATTCAATTAAACATTGTAGACCAAAAGAGAAACCTTATTCCAAACAGAGGGTAACAATTTAGTCAAACACTCAAACCTATTATTTTGGGATTAAGGCTTAGATTTCGTTTTTGTACTTAAGTATTAATAGTTATTAGTATTGGCAGATCATACTTAGTTCAAAGTTCTGATACTGATTTGTTTATTTACTGCCTTATTCAAACTCAAAGTGTAAGTTTTCATCAGTTGTTTTTCAGCAATATTTCAAGTGACCAATACTTGGAACTAGGAATGCAAACACAAAAGAAGAACTCATATCAAATATAAACCTGTTCAGGGGATTCACAGTTTTCTGAATGTTTTTGGAATTCAATCATGGCATCACGATTGGTATGACACTGCAAAACCTTTTCAAATATCTGCAATTGAGAGACGATGAGAACAGCAAGAGAGGGGCATAATTCATCCAGTTAATAAAAGAAAGTTCCCTCATCAGTTACCTTTAAATCCTCATCCTGACTAAATGTTTTCAAAAATGCAGCTAAGTCTTCAACAGATCTCCTAGCAGGGTCAGACATGCTAGAACCAAACTTCTTGTCATAAAGTTGCAAAAAATCCTTCCAACTTCCTTTGCTTCCTTTCATTCCACGTTTTTGGGATAACTTCACAAGGTGAACAAGTACCTTAACACCATAACAAATAGTTAGTGGACATGAAGTCATCAGTTGTCAAGGCATACTTATGAAGACAACATACAAACAACAACGAGACCAAACCTAATAAAATCCCACGACACTAGGGTTTGGGGAGGATGTGTGTACACATACCTTACCCTAGTGGCGAATCCATTTTATATTAGTTTGGTTTAGAGTTATGTAATTAATAATTATGACCCCGACTAAAAAATACTGGGGACCCCAATTAAAAGCATTACAGACCTCGATAGATAGTGTTAAGTGAGAAACAATGGGAAAAGTTAAATATTAAAATATTAAAAGAATAAAATATTAGTGTGAAATTTTTAAAAATCACAAAAATAAAATCTAAAGTGAAACACTAAAAATTTATAATAATTAAACTAACTTGATTCATCCTTGCAGAAGCAAATCAAGCAATGGATGCTCAAATGCTAACTAATAGTGCATAGAACCTTTTAATAAAACCCTAATATCTAAAACCTGTAATATTGTCTGGATAAAAGAAGTTCTTGTGAACGTTCTCAGTTCACATTGAAGCTTATACATACACTGCAATGAGAAGCTAACTATGAAAATTGCCAGAGCATGAAAAATTACTGCATTTCAGAGCACGATTCAAATCACGGTTGCGGATTACTGGAAGGGAAAAAGGGGAAAAACAACAAAAAGATATCTCTGTCAACAGGGGAAAATGGAGTGAAGGAAGAGAGTAAGAAAAGCTCACATCTTTCTTCGCGGAGGCAATCAGCGCATCCATTGGCAGCTGTTTCTTGTTCAAGAAAGATAAAGATCAAGATTCTCAAGAAGAAACCCCACCAGCGCCAATTGGCCGCCGCGGCTAATAATTCTGCCCCTGCGGCCGCCGCCTTCAATAATAATACTCCGAGACAAGAAGCTGCTGCTGCTGCTGGACCGTCCTTCAAGAAAGCCGCCGCCAAGGGGAACCTGAGCCAGCGTTACGCGGAAGTTGCGGAAAACAAGGCCAAGAGAAAGATCCTGTGCATCCTGCGACCTCAACAACAGAACCACTACTGCTCCAAACCCTAAGAGGGCCGATGGATACGATAGGGGGCGAATGGGTTGGTCGGGTTTGATTCGGACTTGGATAAATTCAAGTTTGGATTTGGATCAACCAAACAAATTATGAGATTTTTTTTACTCCGTAATTATTTAAGTTCATACTAATAGCTGCATTTTGCACTAAATAAATAATAAAATATCAAAATACATATATTGTACCTATTAGAGTCTTGTATTTTAAATTTTCCAGTAATATTAGTTATATTTTTCAATATTATGAATAATATAAAAAATTAATATTGTACCATTCTTTAGAAAATATAAGATGACTATATGATAATAATAAAAACTTGTTTCAAAATACAGAATAGGGAGTATAAGTTTGTATACTAAAAAGGAGTAATAAAAAAAACATAACCTCAGTTTTATTACATTACTTTTCAAATTAAAATGCATGATTTTGAAAACTCTTAAGCTGCTGGGTCATTCAGTTTGGGTGCGGTAAACAATTTTTTTCAAAATTTTATATTTTTAACCAATCTCAATTCAGTTTTGTCAAGTCTAGATATGCACAACGTCGTCCCCGAGCATGGGCAGAGCGGACAAGTAGCCCAGATCCAACATTCTCAAAAATATTGGCCTGGTTTGGAGAATATCCATGAAAAAGTTTGTTAAATTTATAAATAAAGTTTTTTTGAAGATTGGGTCACTTTAAGAGCATGTTCTTTAGGGCTTGAAATCTTAACTTCGAGTTTCTTCCAGTTCTTTCTAGTTTCTTTCCAGTTTCTTCTAGTTTTTTATAATTCCTTCCAGTTTCGTCCATTTTCTTCCCACTATTTTTTTCTTCAAACTCTTTCTACTTTCCGACTAATTATTCTGAAAACGATATATTATTATTATTACTACACTTATTATGTTCATAACTATAGTTTATAAATTATATCATTTTTTCATCTCATTATTTTTATGATTCACACTAATCATATTATGTGACATACCTGATATTTAAAACAAAATCATGTAATATATAAATTATAATTGCAAATATGTTATTTTATGATAAATACTGCATAAATAAAGTGATGTGCAACATAGCCACAATAACTTTTAAATATTTAACATTTTGATATTTATGCTAATTTCACATTCTAATTAATTTTTTTCAAAATTATTTTTTTTGTGTATGAAAAATAACAATATTTTTTATCATAAAGACATACATTAAGATAACGTGATGACAACAACAACAACAATGATAATAATAATAATAACAACAATATTAATAATTTATAACAATAAGAATTGGAATGAGAATAATATAAAAATACACAAAAAGTTTTTTAAAATTTTGTTAGATTTTCAAATTTTTTGTAGTTTTTTCAATTTCATTTAATTTTTTCCATTTTTCTCCAGTTTCTTCCAGTTCTTTTCAGTTTATTCTAGTTCCTTACACTTTCTTCTAGTTTCTTCCAGTTTTTTTCTAGTTTCTTTCAACATCAAGCTCTTTTTTTCATGTCCTAAAGATCATGTTCTAAAAGCTAATGAGTTTTGTGAGCTTGCATATTTTAAGAGCCCTTATAGGAAAGATTTTATATTTAAAATTTTGTTAATTGACTATTAAATTAAGACTCGATTCTTTTTGTACTAACTCTACACTTATAAAACACAGAGTAATATTTTTTTATTCCTTGTAATTATTGTTCAAGTTTCATCCATTTTCATTTAACTTTTTCTATTTCTTCCAACGACTTAAAAAAATATTTAGATATATTTTTCTTATTTTTATTATTCTATAGTTAGTATTGTTATTATTGTTATCATCATCTATCTAATTAGAATAGAAATAATTGATGTGATATCACAATCTATTTATAAAAATAAATTACCCTCAGAATAAATTTGAGTAATCATTATAGAGAGTCAACGTAAGTTTGATGTACATAGCATGTTCCCGTTGTTTTAATTGCAAAACTTTTGATGTAAGTTTTTTTTTAATTTTTTCTAATTAGTAAATACTATCACTTTAAAAAATTTTAATTTTGCATATTGTTTAGAATGAGAACTTTTTTTGAAACATAAAGACTATATACATGGTATTCTAAATGAACTATATAGAGTGAGAATAAAAGTGATATAATGGTTTGATGGATTTTAGAACCCGGGTCTTAGGAGACTAGGTAGAAGAGTATCGAAAAAGGACTGAGTTCCTTTTGGTCGCAAGAGTAGAGTAAGTATCTTTAGTAGTCAAAATGTGAACGTGTTTTTCCTCATTCAAGCGAGGGGTGTTTATACAATGCATTTTCCCATGGTTGGGTTTCCTAGCCATTGGTCTACGACCTAGTGGGCTGGGCACATCGGGGCCATGCCTTTTGATTAACAGTACAAGAAATATAATTACAAATAAGGTAGTTGGAACCAATCGTACAGATAATCGTATTAGAGATGTCTCAGCGTGGGCCCATTTGATTAGACAGGGCATACATATATGCTCCCACGCTCGTAGTAGGTCCATAGTGTTTTGCTGGCGGCAGAGGCCGAGTACAAAAGCCGAGTGCACAGACTCTGCCGTTGGAGGTTAGCCAAGTAAGGATTTGATCGTGTCCGCCCCAGGGTCTGAGTCGATGTAACTGTGCTGAGTAAGAGCGCATGTCCGAGTACAGTTGCCATTTTGAGGGGTAGGTTTCCTCTAAGTCCCACTCGGTCGAGCAGGGCGTCTTTGGTCAAGCGCGTCCGATTTCTGCGATTAGATGAACCTTGTTGGGCCGCTTATTTTGTTGGGCTGCATACCCCTAATCCAGAGTATTCATCATGGTTATTATTCACATTTTACAAAAATGTAGTTTTATAGAGTGTTTTTGTTTCGATTGAAAATTCTTAGCTCTGGTAAGGAGTGGCAAGAATAGAATACTGCTCCACTATTCATTTTCATTACATTTTTTTCTTTAAAAAATGTCATTGAATGTTTGGAAATATTTAAAAGTGTCACTCAAGTATTATGGAGTATCCTTTATATATATAAAGCAGAGTCGGAGCTATAAGAACGTGACATTTGGCAGAGCTAAAGCATGACATGTGGCGAGCTGATGTGGTGACATTTGGCAAAGTTAAAGCGCGACATGTGGCGAGCTAATATGTCACCCTTTTAGACAAACCGATCGGTTTGACCGGTTAGACCAGTTCTTTTTTTGCAATTGTTTTCCAAAAGCATACCACCATGGGGTTTGAAACAAGGATCTCTTGGTCATTATTAGCACCCACAATCGAATTTGTTAAATGACAAATGAATTTGTCATATCCCTTATTCTAAGAGGTAAAAAAGAGTACTTAAGTTCTCATTCTTCATGCCAAACATATTTAGATGTAGTTGTTGAAGACGATTAGATAACAGTTCAATTCTTATTAATGAAATCAAATGTTAGGGGATTCAAACCATAAAATAGTTTTTAAAAGGGGGTACCGATTATGTTATTGAAGAACATTGACCAAATATATGGATTGTGTAATGGTAAAAGATTAATCATTAAAGAGATGTGAAAGAACATTATCAATGTAATTGATGTTTCGAGAAATCGCGTTGGAGAAAAAGGTTTACATACCCTGAATAAAATTTGGTATCATCTGATAGAATTCTCAATATAATAGTCTTATGTTTTGCTATGACTATAAACAAAAGTCAATGTCAAACATTGTCCTTTGCTATATTATTTTTAACNATTTACTTGATTTTGGAATAAATATTTCATTGAAAAATTTCAAAATCGACAACAGTTTCGTTCGACCCCGTGCATCGCACGGGTCAAAATACTAGTTTTTTAAAAATTTGTCACTCTCTATTTCGTTTCTTCTAATAATGTCATTAAAATCTCTAAAACTTTAAAAAAATACCACTAAAATTTCCTTCTTTTTCTTTTTTAAATGTCCATATAAAATATCTACTTAGCTTTATTTCTAAAAGATAAATTCTACCATGGACCTTAGATGCATTTTGCACTCATATATTTGCGCTTAGTTTTAAGATAACCTTTTTTAATTGAAAAAATAAAGTTTATGTGAGAAAGTGTACGAAATATTTGTGAGCCTTGCGCCATAAAAGTACTAAAAAAAACAATAAGAAAATTTTAGAAAATGTATATAGTTAAAGAAAAAGAACAAATAGTTTACTCATTAGAAGGATTGTGACTATTTAAAGGCAAACTCTTACGTTGTCTTGAGGTCAATGTTCATTTTATGGACGTTAATGTATTGATATCATAAAAGAATATGACTTTTTGTAAAAAAAACAAAAGATCTACTTGCTAGCCCATAAAAAATGTGAGAAGATTCACATCTCATACATGAACATTAGGATCATGGAAAAACAACTTCTATTTTAAAATATTGGAGTAATATTTTTGAACATTTTAGAGAGTTCAATACTACAGTGACATTATTGAAAGAAAAAAAACTAGCGACATTCTTTTAAAAAAATAATACTCGAGTGACACTTTTAAACATTTTTGAGAGTTCAGTGACATTATTAAAAGCAAAAAGATAATGACATTTTTGAGAAAAACGAATAGTTGAGTGTCATTCTTGTCGTTGCACTCTTCTTTTAAGACCAATTATACTTTGTACTTTTTTAGCACCAGTTACTATTTTATAATTGTAGTATCTGTTCATCTACTCTAATTTCTCAATCTACAAAATATCTATAGTTGTCGTCTCACTTAAAACCTTTGACCTCCCATTTGAAAAAATCACCTTAGTGCAATCACTTCATCAAACTACACAATCTATGGATGTACTGTGTTTATGACACTAAACTAATCTTTGTAAAGGTAAACTAAAAAAATTGAATAGAATTATAGAACATATTACTTTAAATAAAATTATTCCCTCTGTCTTAGACAGATTGTATGAAAATAAAAAAGAGACAAACTCTCAAATTATCAAAATTCATTTTAATTTGAAAATTAGTATGAAAATAAAAAAAATAACATATTTAAAAAGTATATCAAAATGTCTACAAAACAACAATAACAAGAAATTTTTAATTTATTAAATAATTAAAGGAGAAATACCAAAATAGAGGTAAAATATTGAAAAAGAATCAAAATATGTTCTAGCTGTTTATATCATAAAATAAGACATATAATAGCAATAATACCAACATGTAATGCAAAAAATTATCGTCGAATGCCAACACATAGTGTCACCTTATTGCAATGGAATAGTCCTATTTTAGGATAAAAATATGTTATTCATATTAGAGAACAAACATTATTTTTTACTTCTATTTTGAGTAATTTTTTAATAATTATAAAGTAATAAAAATATACAAATAAATAAAAGTTACCATAATTAATGGTGCAATGTGGAATGTAGAATTTATTTAAAAAAACAGAGGAAGTACACCATTACCAATTTTAAAAAATTTATAATGATCTAGTTTCCAAAATTATTTTTATCAACTGCCTTCTTTCTCCTTACCCTAAACATACTCGCCCCACCGCTCTTCATATATTTCCCTTTCTCTTCTTCGCAGGCTTCTTACATTGGAACTGAAATTTATTATTCATATTTATTATTATTATTATTATTATTATTATTATTATTAATTATTAGTATTATTATTTGTTATGACGAGAAAAATTTGATAGTAGAACACTAGAACATAGTAAAAGCGTCTATTTTTTTTTCTTTTTCGCTTTAATGGCTGACAGAAACCATGATTGTGTAGCCTCAAACCTACTCTGCTCAGAGACCATTGGTCTGTGCTTTGATGATCTTGGCTCTATTGCCATAGATATGCAAACCCATGAATCCGATGGTGATGAAGCTTTGATCTTTGACAATATTGAATCAGACAATTTAGTTGATTTCCCAGTTTTGAGTGAAGAGAGCTTTGTTTTGATGGTGGAGAGGGAGAGGCAGCATTTGCCTGCAGATGATTATCTCTGCAGATTGAGAACTGGGGACTTGGATTTGTCCTTTAGAAGTGATGTTCTTGACTGGATTTGGAAGGTAGATTTTGATTCATTTTCTGAGTAATTTTTTTCTTCTTTTTGCAACCTTCTTTTTTGGTTATAATAATTGGTTTCTCCTCTTTTTTTTCCTCCTCAAAAGATCACTGGATTTCTTTCTATCTTGTTCTTGCCAATCATTTATGGGGGGTTTTCATAAAAAAAGGAATCAATTTTACTGATTTATTCCACATTCTGGTTGAAGAATGATTTTATTTTATTTTTATTTTTAATTTTTTGTGGTTGTGTTGTGTGTGCTGCTAATCACTTTCTGTATTTTATTTTGAGAAGTATGTTAAATGCTGGATCCAGTTTGAAGGGCCTTTTTAATTTAATTGATTAAGTTTATTACTCTTTTTAATTCTTTTCCTAAATGGAGATTCAAAAAGATCCTTTAAATCTTGATTTGATACCTAACAAATCCAAACTGTGTGTATAGGCTCATTCACATTTTGGGTTTGGAGAGTTCAGCTTTTGTTTGTCAATAAATTACTTGGATCGCTTCCTCGCAGTCTATGAACTGCCAGTAAGTATATTTTAGTACTCCTTAATACATTTTTTTGAAACAATTTTTTTTCGCTAGTTTTTTTGCTTAGACTTTAAAATGCTGTTTTTTCTTGACTGATTTTTTTGAGTTTGATTTACTTGTTGGAATTCATAGAGAGGTAAAACTTGGACAGTGCAATTGTTAGCTGTGGCCTGTTTGTCATTAGCCGCTAAAGTGGAGGAAATTAGTGTGCCTTTGACCGTGGATTTACAGGTAAAATTTGGTGTCAACACGTAATTAATGCATTTGAAACGTTTGCTCGTTTTAGGTGATGTTTTGTTCACGGTAATGAAACTTGATGCGCTGTAATCACACACTGCATATTTTTAGTGTCATTTTGGATTACACATACATTTGTTCACACACATTGCATATTTCTGTTAGACCCTTGATGCATTGCTGCATTTACTACCCAAAGAAAGTAAGAAGCGAGGGAAGTTTAAGGTGTCATTTTGATCTAGTCTACTATTCACTTGAAGCTAAAAAGAATGGTTAAAAGTAAGTCTTGAAACTCCATTGACAAGGGACATGTGCATTGCGCACATACATTTGTTTATACCACATCAAGACTTCATTTTGTAGCAGCTAAAATGCATAAAATGACCAAATGGGTCGAATAATATCCGAAAATGAATATTAGAGTGCCGTTTTCATTATGCCCCTTGATTTAAGCAGGAAAATACTTACCAAAAGAGCACCTACTCTCGTTTCGTCTCACAAAATGATACCTTTGCACAATATTTAGATCCGAGCCTGGAGTTTGTTAATCTAGTTCTTGGAACAGGTGTGCGACCCAAGATTTGTGTTTGAAGGGAAAACAATTCAGAAAATGGAACTTCTTGTGTTGAGCACCTTGAAGTGGAGGATGCAAGCTTATACACCTTGTACATTTATAGACTATTTCCTAAGAAAGATTAACGACAACCAATTGCCGTCACTACACATCACATCAAGATCAAGGCAGCTTATTTTGAGCACAACGAAAGGTAGATTTTTTTATTTTTTATTTTGGTATATCTATATTCTTTGAAACACACAAACACCAAATTCTTTGAAGTGTTTGATTGTGAGAGAGAGAATGGATGCAGGGATAGATTTCTTGGAATTCAGGCCTTCAGAGGTTTCTGCAGCAGTGGCGATTTTTGTTTCGGGAAGAACAGAAGCAATAGAGTTAGTGATGGCAATTCCTTCATTCAATCATCAAGGACAAAAGGTAATTTTTTTTACCTCCTCAAGTTGTGTTTTGTCTATAGAAATGAACCTTGAATTCTTTCTGGCATAGACTACGGAGTTTTTAGAGTATATGTTTTCTTTGGAAAATATGAAGATCCCAAGAGAGCGCAGCTCTTAATAAGAGAATAAGAAGTTTGTAAGCCATTTGGGCTAAGAATGGTTTCTGCTTTTGGTCTCCAACTTTTATTTTGTTTTCACTTTTGGCGCACCATGATAAATTTCTTGCCACAATTGGCCCTTTTGGTTTCCCAATTCTCCGAATTTAGTTGTCCATTTTCTAAAAAATCTCATTTCTAGGAAACGAGTTTAAAATGTCAAGTCCTTGAAATGAGTTTGTTGCTCATTCATGTCAACAATGCTTGTACCCTATCTTTAGGATATTTTAGACAATTCATTGTAATTTCCATACTGAATATGGAGAGCGGAGGACTAATTCTAGACAAACGAAAACAAGAAAGTGGACAACTAAATTCGGACAAATGAAGTACAACTTTTGATTGATTTCTGCGATAAATGTGACCGAAAAAGGACAAAAAGTGGCAAGAAACGCATTTGATGCGCAACACGTTTTCTTCAATGGGTTGTCCTTGTCGTCTATCGAATGTTAACTAATTACAAGAAAACCCAAATTTGTTTTTTTTACTTCAATGCTTATACACCAGTTGTCAAAAAGGCATCTTAATCCAGCTATTATTTTGTCAAGTTAGTTTTTACAACCGAGCTGGTTTTGGACATTTGCAGGAGAGATTGGTAAAATGCATTGAACTGATTCAGAATTGGAACTTGAAGGGCGATATGGGCATTGGATCAATGCCTCAAAGTCCAAATGGGGTTTTGGAAGCTGCATGCTTCAGCTACAAAAGTGGCGATGAACAGACCATAGGATCATGCCCAAGTTCATCAACTACTACTCCGATTACTAAGAGGCGGAGAGTGGAAAGACATTGTTACCCAAAACGCAGAAGAGTATGACAAAAATCCAATCTTCATCAAACATATCTATCTAGTTATATATATATATATATATATATATATATATATATATATATATATATATATCATGTTTTATTAAAAAATAATGACAACAACGAGAAAAACATAGTGAGGTGCGGGAAGAGTGAGTGTATGTAGACCTTACCCCTACTTGAAAACCAAATGGACTATTTACAAGAGATCCCTGTCTCAAAACACAAGAAACACCAAAAAACAAGAGTAACATATAATTATGAAAGAATAAAGAAATAGGTTGCCATATAGAGTGTAACATTTTAACCATGCTTTATTTTAAGGTAATGTTTATCTACATTACACCCTTGTGGTATGACCCTTCCTCATCGGGCATGCTTTGTGCATCCGCATGCCCTTTCCACCACTCTAGGGCACAGATGAGGCACAAAGACCCCAAAGACGGGATGCGAGAGGCTAGTGGGAAAGGTCTGGCCTAGGAAGATTTGGAAGAAAGTGATTAGACATGACTTGCGGATAAGGATCTTAAGGACTATATGACCATAGATAGGAACGTTTAGAAATGTTGGAGTAGAATAGTTGGGTAGGCTTTTGGACCTTAGTTCGTAGCTTGTGCATGAATGCTTTCTCTACTTTGAGTATAGTTTCGGTGTCTGAGCCGGTGGTCTCTCCCTTGGAAATCGTTTCCTTGCTTTCAAGTAGGGGTAAGGTTTGCGTACATCCCGCTTCCCAGACCTTAATTTTTGTAGGGTTTTACTGGTTTTGTTATTGTTTACTCCGTATTTATTTATTTATATATTTATTTGTTTATTTCTAAACTTACTTTTTTTTTTTGGGTTTGTTGGCAGCTGCGTCACACCTAAAGGCCAAACAGTTGTGGTTGAAATGAAATTATTTTGTGGCAGTTAAAAATGTGGCTTCAAGAAATTTATAAAGAGAGGGAAGGTCATCATGGAATGAGAATTGGGGAAAGGTAGATGGAGAGTGGGTCCCATGTTTGCAATCCAGCTGTTAAATAATAATAATAATAATTTAAATTTTAATATTATTTCAAAAAATGAAAAATCATGAGTTGTCAACTATGGTAAAAATATCATGAGTGGTCCACTACCATGGTAAATACTATAAAAGGTGAATTTTGTGATGTGGTAGGAATTTACTGATGTTTTATTTTTATTTACTATTATTATTATTATTATTTAAATTATAAAAATGACATTGAAGGGTATTTATTGGAAAATAAAGTTAAGTGTTTTATTTTATTCATTGGCATGCAATGGGAAAAATGGGACCGTACAATCAGCTTCAAATTGTAACGGAGTTTCAAAAATGGCGCGAAACCGAGTCTAACTGCCAACGTTATGGCGTATTAGGGCAGACGACGTCGTTTGCCTGGCTATTTTCCAATTATCTCCCGCAGTTTGGGCCCATGGTCCAGGCCCACTATCCATCTTTGACTGGCCATTGCTATTTGGTACAACTTTGTTCTTTTCTCCAAAGGAAACTACTCTATAAAAGTCCTCCCTAATTGGATTTATGGATAATTAGAATTAACATTTCATTTAAAAATTCCAAAATGAATGGAATTAAATTTTCCTTAAAAGTTAAATAAACTTTTGAAATGAGTAAGACACCTTTTTTTGTCCTAGTACAATCCTAATCAAAGTATAGTCTTGCCTGTGATGTAAAATTAATTGTAGAGTATGAAAATAATAATTGAGATATATTAGGTTTTTATTTCACTATTGGTGGACATTTGTTCTCATTTTTTCTTTTTCGTTTATTATTTGATTTTTCCTTTTTTAATTCTTTTTTATATGTTTGTTTCCCTTTCCTATAAAACTTTTTTAAATTTCTTTTCAATTTTTATAATATCTTAAAAAATCCAAAACTCTTTGTTTTTGAAATAAAATTAAAAATAAAAATTAAGATATATTTCATCTATCTCAAATTAAACATTTTCACTTTTTATTTTCTAGTATAATAATTTATTTTGTAAAAAAATAAAATTATTCATTTGAGACATATAGATGCATATATGTTAATTATTATTTTTTCAAACAAAAATTTGAAAAGAAATTTAAAAAAATCTTGATTAATATTCTCTCAGACATATTTTGTATTGCCTGTTTTGGTTTACGATGTTTGATTGAAATCATTTTCAAATCATTTTATATGAAAAATAGTGTAAAATTAAAAAATAAAAATTACATGTTAAAATACTACATGAAAAGATCTACAAAACTAGTGTGACATGATTATATTATTTATCAAATGATTATTGATAATAGAGAAAGAAAGTGAATGAAGTTTTGCTAGAGGAAAAGAAAAAAGAGAAACAACAAGAAATAAATGAAAAATAAAAACTAAGCACCCGTGCACCCTTATTGTTTGGAAAATAGGCATCAATGTCTCTTTCTTCGCTAGAAAATGATTAGAGGAGGTATGGATGAATTTTTTGAAACTACGGGACTTTAGAAATAAATTTTGAAAATCACGAGACTTTAGAATGTTTTAAAACCACGAGGTACTGATGCTATTTGACCCAAATAATAATAAATCTATCTAATAATAATAGTGATAGTGTAGTAGTAATAATAACACCCCCTATTTTTGACAACAAGAATGGATGTCATATTTGACAACAAGGCCTACGGTGATCCATTCAAAAAATTAATGGTTCCTACTGCCGCCTAACCCCCCACCCCTCCATGTTCCCCATCCCAGTGAGGGTTGTAAATGAATCGAACATTTTTTGTTTGATTCGTGATTCGTATTCGTATGAAGTGATTTGTATTTGATTTTTTCAAATCCTAATACGAATACGAATCAGAATAAATATTCTAATCCTTATCGAATACGAATATGAATCAAATGTATTCGATTCGTGAGTTTGACAAATATATTTGGAATATAAATTTAATTATACAAATTATACACACACACACATTAAAGTATGAAGCACAATTTTATACAATAGCTAATAAATAGATTAAATGGTTATAACATATTTTTGAATCTAAATGAATCAAATTTTTTTTAAACGAACCGAATATATTTAAACGAATCAAATTTTTAAACGAATCGAATATGTTTAATATATTAAACAAACCGAATATGAATCTTAAAAAAAATATTCAAACCGAATTCGAATATCACTTTATCGTAACGAATACAAATATTATTAATAAATATTTGATTCGATTCGATTCATTTACAATCCTAATTCCAGCAGTCCCATACCCTTACACTCCAAACTGTCGATTGGCTACAACTGTAGCCAATCGATGATTTGAAATGGAGGGGGGGGGGGGTAGGGGGGTTAGGGAGAGGCCATTGTTGTCATAATATGACAACAATGATTGTTGTCAAAAGAAGCCCACGTAGTAATAGTAGTAGTAGTAATAGTAATAATAGAAATAAAAATAAAAATAATAATCATATTCATAATAATAATAGTAGTAGTAATAATAATAATAGTAGTAGTAGTAGTAGTAGTAGTAGTTGTTGTTGTTGTAGTTGTAGTAGTAGTAGTAGTAGTAATGCTCCTATGTCTCATAAAATAATTTGCAGTTTGATATTTTGGTAAAATTATAAAAACTTCGACCATAAACAGGTAAGTTTTAAACACAAATTCTTACGTGATTCTTAGATCCCTAATCATTTTATCATTTTATTGACCTTAATGTATTGCTATCATAAAAGAATTAAACCATTTTATAAAAAAAAGATACACCTGTCACGTCATGAAAAGTCTGAGAAGGTCCATATTTCACATGTGGACTTTAGGATCACAGAAGAACAATTCAATCTTAAGATGTAGTTTTGGAATTTTAAAATGTAGTTTTGGTCAATTTTAAGATGTAGTTTTGGAATTTTATTGACCTATTCAAAATGATATTTATTAATGGTCAATTATATAGTTATTTAATTTGACAAAAAAATCAATTTGTAAAGAATTTGATGAGATAGAGAAAGTAGAACAAAATAGATAAATTGAACTTAAGTCATTTATATTTATCATCCTTAAAATTAATCCGAGGGTCAAATATTTTACTTTTTTGAGATGTTTTAAGGGTTTGAAATATTTGCAATAAATAGCACTAAAACTTATGTCATTTCCCTAAATATCACTTAAATTGTTTTATTTCCTAAATAGCACTTAATAATGTCCATAATGTCTTGTGATGACAAATATTTACTTGAATAATGACTAATGCAGAATAACTAAAAGTGCTACATTGGGAAGAAAAACACGTACTATTTAGGGAAAGTCATTATGTTTTAGTGTTATTTAAGTAAATTCCTCTTTAAGTTTTTAATAACACTTTCATACTTTAATGCCAATCGCTTTTATTTAGAGGTAGTAAATTAGTCGTTCGTGTTCTATACTTCTATTCGTACAAATTGGGTTACTTTGGATTTTGAGTAAGTTCGATTTGAAACTATATCACTACAAGATGTCATCTGGTTCACGCTGACTCAATGAGTTATGAACTTTATTTTTTTAATATTTAAATTTATACTAGTAGTTGCATTTTGCATTAAAAATGCATACAAAGGAAATATTATAGCTATTACAATATATTATTTTATTTTTAAGTAAATTTTAAATGAATACAACAATATTATAAATAATACTCCGTATAATTTTTTTAAATGTGTACAACAGGTTAAAAAAACTAAGACTAATTCAATATCTTTAAAAATTTAATTTTTTTTATAATTACGGAGTATAAGTTTCAATACTAAAAAAGAGTAATAAGTAAAATTAATAGCGTAAAATTACTTTTATCACATTACAAGAGGTAATCATCAGTTTTTTGAACAGAACATCATAAATGTCCCTGGTCATACTATGTCATTGAGTACAATGTCACATGAACCGGCCCATATTTCCTATTAATGCATGTACGCGTACATGATTATGAAAAAATCTACCTTAGCGAGTCTATCAAGTCACATTCTGGCTGGTAGGGTCCAAGCTTTCTTTAGTGTGTCATTTCGAGTTCATCATCTTCAGGTTCATTAAACAAAATATATGCTCAAAACTTAATATTTTCGGGTCGAGTCTCAGATTAAAAATATAATGTCATTTTTTGTTTGGTTTTTTAGTCCTCAAAAGCATTTACCACTCCAATCTAAATCGAAACTTTTTGGAGTTGCTATTGTTGCTCGAGTTTTGCTTTGGTGGTCTTAAGATCTAAATATGAAATGTGGGGCAGACTTTCTCACACAATATTTATGAACTACCTGCGATGTTTGTAAAAGATCAAACACTTTAGTCGTGTTAATGTACTCTCTTTGTCTATTTTGATTTTTCTCATTTGACTTTTCACGATCTTCATTATAACACTTTAACCATCATTATCTACTAAATTTATACGAAGTACTCCCCATTACAAAAATTACTACGTATAAGAAAATAATTAATACTTCTTCTGTCTCAAATTAAATTTCATGTTTACTACTTATAGAGTCAAACCTCATTTGCTTTCTTTCCTTATTTTTGTTAATCATTTAATAAATAATATATTAATGTCACCACTAACCTTGTAGATCTTGTGATGTAGTTTTTAACTATTTAATTTTTTTAATTCTATACTATTCATTGAGAAAAATGATTTAAAAATAACTTCAGTTAATCGGAACAAGTGGCTTAAAATAGAAGGGAGGAAGTAGAATAGAAGTATATTTCAATACAAATGTTATTGACTTATGGCATATTATATTGTATATCTGACTAGTCCAAGTATGTCACAAAAATTTATTGTAATACTTAAAAACGAACAAAAAGACTAGTCTTTGATACGTTCAACACTATGTTTGACACCTATTTTGAAAGAGAATATAAAATAAAATGAGATGCAAACAATTTTTGTGTTTGATTAGAAAAAAAAAAAAGAAAAGGGAAAGAAAAAAAATAAAGAGGCAAAATTTACCAAAGAGAGGAAACTAATTATAGAGTATTTT